ATGAAAACACATCAAGACCAAACACAGGATATCATATTGTTACAGTGAATGCAATAATTGAAATTAAGATGTTGAAAAGCAATTGTTGTGGTTTAAACCCAGCCAGCAGCCAAACACTGTGCAGCCACTCGCTCACCTTTCCACTGCCCCAGGGGATGGGGAGAGAATTGGAGGGGTAAAGGTAAGGAGACTCTTAGGCTGAGATAAAAACAATTTAATAATGGAAATAAAATAAAGTTAAAATAATAATTATAATGATTATGATAATAATAGAATATACAAATGAGTGATGGACAATATAATTGCTCACCACTTGCCAACCAACATCCAGCCCGTTCCCAGTTAGTGATCCTGGAGGGCAGAGAATCCCAAAATCGCAATCCCAGGAGACCTAGCTTCCCCGCCAACCCTCATTTGTATACTGAGCATGACACTGTATGGTATGGAATATTTCATTGGTCAGTTTAGGTCTGTTGCTCTGGCCATGCTCCCTCCCAGCTTCACATGTACCTGTATATGAGCAGGACATGGGAAGTTGAAAAGTCCTTGATTTCTTAGCAACAACTAAAACCATCAGTATATTATCAACATTCTTTTCATACTAAATCCCACACTGAATCCAAGCCACAGCACTATTCTAGCTACTAAGAAGAAAAAATTAGCTCTGTCCCAGCTGAAACTAAGACAGCAATGACTATTCTGAAATACCTTCTTGAGAAATCTTTAAGGAACTTCATTTTCAGAAAATGAAATATCCTTGGCCTTGAAATACAGTCTGACAAAATGCTTCATTTGGGATGCAGAAATAGCTAGGCATTATCTCAAAATCACTAGTCATACCTCTTGCATAAGTTCATGAATTTTAAGTTCTCTCTGATCACATCAGGTGAAACCTACCTGCATCTATTTATCTACTTAGTCACAAAACTGAAAATAGAAGGAAATTTACATTGTAGAAGTTGACAGTATCTGTATCATATATCCGATAAAATATATGGCATTGTTGAAAAATCTCCACCTACTCCAGGAAACAAATTATTAATAACATAAAGTGCCTGACACTGACTGCTTACATTTCATTTTGCCACAAAGTCCCATGCTGCAATGTCTTGCTTCAGTAACTTCTTAGAAAGCGGTATGAAAGAAGTGCTCCATATCTCACCTGTGAGATGAGAAAAAAACCCACCAGTCTAACCTATTTTTAGACTCTCCTTTTCTTTACTGAAGGTGGGATTTGTTTTTATTTTTCTCCCTTTGATATTTACATGACAAGAAAATTACACTTGAGATACACATGGTCCCTTAGGAGTTTCTGAAATCACTAGGACTGCTGCTATGGGCTTATTTTTGGCTTTGTGGCAATGAATTATGCCCAGAGGATCCAACCTACAACTTTTAAAAGTAAGGCAAATTTGTTTCAGGAGGAGCAGACTTGTTCTTAGAGCTTCACACAAGCCATTTATAAGTTGCTCTTTTTGTAAGATACTCATCCATCATAATTTTTTTTAGCCAGGGTAGATTCCGATCAGGTGTCCAATCCAAGGCTAGTGAGGCCAATGTTAGGACTCAATAGCACATTTGATTAAGATAAGTAGCAGAAGTTAATATTCTGTTTTGTGGCAACCTCAATAACTGGCTTGCAGACGCATCTGTGATTTCCCAGAGCTGGTTGGAATCTGCATGGTATGAGAGATCCTCATGGCTAACAGGTGACGGAGGCTCACCAGTACCATCCCAATGCTCATGTAGCAGAAGGATTGGAGTCCTAACGGGCACTGCCAGGAGCCTCCCAGTGCCTATCGGACAGTCATGTCGTGGCTCTGCATCAGGTCAGCTGGGAAGCGTACAGCACAAAACCCCAAGGGCTTCTAGGCTCAGGCGCAATGTGCTCATTGCAAGAGCAAAGTCCTCGTTTGCAGGTGAGCTTGAGCATCTCCTGTGTTGTTGCAGCAACAAGCAGAGCATAGTCATCAAAATATAGTGGCAGCTGCAGTGAAAGATTACAGCACAAGGCATGATGTCTTGCCTTGGTTCTCTTGCTAACAGAGCAGCAAGAAAAATAAAGCTCTTGTGATTTATACTTGCGGAGTAATCTTCACAGTAATGTGAAATATGATAGTTCAAATGGGTAAGAACAATGACAGCTGTTACCACTTTTGACAAGGAATGGGTTTGGAGCTTGGTGATGAATTGCATGCTGTCTGAGGTTTGTTCAGCCCACTTATCTTCAGGATGTCATTTTTTTGTTTGTTTGGGTTTTTTTGTTGTTTTTTTTTCTTTTCTTTAAAAGAAAAACATGTTTTAAGTCCTTTGGTTTGATGTTGGAAACTTAACAGTTTCTGTTTGGTAAAAAATTTTGCTTTCTTGTGATCTTTTCTTGGAAAATGGCTCTGCATAGATTCCTAAGAAAAAGTTTTGAGTGTTTATCTTGCTTTGATAAGGTAGAATAATGTTCTCTCTTTTATCTTTAATTTTATTTTAATTGGACCTGCAACAAAGATACCTAATTATATGAGGAATTCTAGTTTTGACACATTTCAAGCTAAGATATCACTAAAACACATAAATATGTCTGAGTTTCAGACTTGCAATTATGTTTAGTGAAGGGTAACCCATATTTTATGTCGGATAGCACCAGACCAGACCCTGAGATACTAAAGACATGGAATTATACCCCAATCCCTTGACCCATCTCTGAGAAATTGGTGGTGAATACTTTTTCAGAAGAAGGATGGAAATTCAGTACAAGTGGTAAGGGTACATCTTGCAAAAGGCCCATGTTGTTGTCAGAACTTTTCTTATTCTCCTTCAGTAACAAATACTGTCAAGCCTCACTTTAGGTCTCTCTTGGAATGGGTCAAGGTAAAATGTGGATGGGGTGAAGCAATAACCAGTGCATGGCTAGGAAAGCCCCTTTTGACAGGAGGGCTCTGCTTACACAATTGCAACAGATGAGTTCAAGGAGAAAAAGAAACAACTGCTTTTAGCAACTAAGATCCTATGACAGGTCTGAAGGTGGAAAGCTAAGTCCCACACTGGCAGAAGACAGTGTGATTTTAATTATGTTTACATAGTCCTCACTGAACCCTTAGTTTTGCAAATGCTTTTCTAGAGCTAAACTGCTCCACCAGAACAATCCTACTTCTTTCTATCGCCTTGGTCCCATCACCACATGAAAATCAGCACAACAGGATCTGGCTGGATTTAAGTTTTGATCCCTTTTGAACCAGTGACATTGCTTCTCAGCTACTCATTTCCATGGGAACTAGAGCCAAGCTTTAAGTCCTTACAATTTCCTCTGCTTCTAATTTCACTGGCGTCAAGTTCTGACCAGTTAATCAAATGTCTTTTCTGTTGCAGGTGCCTTAATGTTTATTTTGAGTAGTGTACCAGTTGCTATTTTTAGCTCTTTGGTCTTTGGGTTGAATGAATACCAGCACAGACCTTAAACCATAATAAACATGTGTTTTTGACCTTGCCATTTATTTTTATGTCTCTGTATCCGAATAATCAGGATGTGGTTACCTGTGAAGGCACTAGGCTAGTACTTCAAATTTCAATGCACACCCACATACAAAAATATACATTGTAGAGAGTTACAGCTTTAAAAACACCCGGACAGTCCCTTGTCTGACTTCAATGGCTGTTGCCATCAGACTGAGAGACAGTGGTACCACCTGGCTTACTATTTTGACTTTGTCCTTTGATTCCAGTGAACTAAGCCTGCTTCAGCCCTGCAGAATAACCGGCAGCTTTCTTCCTCACTCCTGATCCCTTATGGACAATATAAAAAAAAAAAAAAAAAAAAAAAAAAGGATAAATAATGGGGTAACCAAATAACAAAAGTACATGTGAAATATACATCCAAACAAGAAACAGAGCTCCAGGAAACAACACTACAAATGTTATATCTTTACTTTTTAATACTGGACTCCAAACACTTGTGGCTTTTCTCCTTTGTAGCATGGGGAAAAAGTACAAAGCCAAATGCTTTTTACAATGTGTTTAGGAAATTTTCTACACAGAGGATAATACAACTATTATACATTATGGAAATGTATTTATACATCCTTTTTATTTCTGCTTTTGCCAAGCAGAGTCAGCAAAGAATGACAAAACCAGGCTTGAATTATACTCTGGGGCAGGACTTGGAGACAGAGTAATTAGCAAATTAGCAGATACCTTTGGCACTAGAAGCCCCAGCCTTGTTCTTATTAACATCAGCTGAAACATTCTCACCTGAGTGAGTTGGGGGCACATCAGGTTTTAAGAGCTAGATCCAAACAAGGGCTTAAACAATGCAGCCTAAATGCATGGCCAAAGATAACCCATACATCAAGCATCTTCAGGATCTCGTCTCCCAAAATGTGACCCTCCCTGCATTATTTAAAGGCTCCGTAGGCATCGGTAGCTCTGGCACGTGGTCAGAACACCACTAGTCTGAGCAATGTATTCTCACGTAAGCTTTTCCCAAGTATGGGTGCTGGATAATTTTATTCCAGGATCCCAAGAAGATCCTGGAAGTTGTGGCTACCATTAACTCATGCTGAAGACTGGTGAAATGCAGCCTTGCTTTCAAAATGTTGCTGGAGAGGCATGTGATTTCTGTAGCAGCTTTAATCACCTATCCAGCCTGTGGAGAGGTCAGGGTCAACATGGGTTGCTATGAGCTCCCTGATTACAAGCTAGTGTCTAGTTCATCTGTTTTTTAACACAAGCTTGCATTCATTGCTGCTGCAAGGACTGGGCCATTGTGGAGAAAGGTATTAAAAGATTTGCAGGGCTGTAAACGAGCAAAGAGGAGGGAGTTGATTCTGCATCCAAAGGTGGAGAGCATTCAGCTAGCACTATCTGATGGCTGGGTTTCATCCAGTGACTCTGTAAGATAAAACATATTAACAGTCATGGGAACAGAATCTTTCACTTCTTTAAGGCCTTTGGAGCAAGGTTCCCCTGGGAACATAGCTGTGAAGTCATTAACAGATTGTTCTCCTCTGCAGATGCTGCAGTTCCAGCTTGCTGTGGTGCATTTGGCCCTTGTGATTACCCTGCTGCAGTGTCACTCTAGTTCAGTGCTCCTTGCGGGGGCAGCATCAGAGGTAGGTGAATGTTTCTGGTGGTTGTCACATATCCCTGCTCTTCCTCAGGTTGTTCTTGACTACAGAGTGTGGCAGGCACCATGGTATCCAAATAGAGCTGGAATGTGAACGGCCAGTGTTGACTCTGTAAGGGCAAAGAAGGAACCTAGTGAAAAGTGATGCAAATTGCATGGCTCTGGGAGGACAGACAGAATGAAGTCTTACCCAGATTCATGCAACCTCTCCCGAAACACCATGGGATTTTCTGTGTGTCAAAACACTGTCAAGTGACTTTGGATAGAGGACTTCCTGAAGACGGGAAGGAAGTGATGGCATGGGGGAAAGCAAACTCCTCTAACACTGAAGGGGAGGTTTCATTCTTCTTCTTAAAGACAAATAATAGCATGAGAAAGCTGAAGCTATCAGAATCCATAAGGACATCCCTGAGAGAAATCCACCTGCACAAAGGTTACAGATTAAAGGAGACAGAATAGACGAGGAGAGGGAAGGAGCAAAGTAACTTGCCTATGCTTGCAAAGGAAAGCAGTGGATGAAATGGGAGAATTGTCTCATGTTTCATCCAGGATAATATGCAGGGGTTGCACCTGAAAAGACTTCTACTGCATTCTCTTTTTTTTATGTCATCTTGACATGAAACAGATTTGTAAAGAAAGGTATTTATGTAACGGTTTATAAAAAACCCAAGGATCTAAAGGTTTAATCAAAGTAGCACTGTTTGGCTGTAGGGTCTCTACATAGGTTTTTAAGATCACCTTAGAAGTTAGATGCATAATGAAGAATACTGATGGATTCTTCTGCCTTTTTCTCTGTCTTCAAATGAGCATGCCCTGATTATTCAAAATTATATTTGTTATAGAAAATAGGTCTTGGGGGAAACCGTTCCCCACATCAGTGCTGCAGCAACTGCTGCTCTGATGCCAGAGAGACTTGGTATCCTGTCTCTGTCAATGACAGATTTTTGTGAAAAGACAATAAAATCAAAACATCTTCAGAGACTTCCTGGTCTGGAGACTCACACTGGACTAGAGCATGTTTTAGCTGCTAATGGGCCTAAAATTCTTTGAAACATTTTAAAATCTTGGTATCTATGATGTCATTTGGCAAAGCATTCTGATTCATCTGTGTTCTGTGTTTAAAACATAGCTCCTTACATTTATTTTAAATCCACCATCTGGTGACTTCACCGGGTGGACTGAGGAGCTTTTCTTCTCAAGGAAAAAACTGTTAGTCTTTATTCACCCCTTTGCTGTTCATAAGTTTATAGGCCCTCACACTTATCTCTGCGTATCTGTGAAGTTGTATGTACTTTACTCAGTGGTTCAGCAAAAGAAAACTGTTGTCTATTTCTGATTATCATTTTAGCTGTCTCTTTTCCTTCTTACAATTCTATTATATTCTTTTTAAGACAAAGTGGGACTGCACAAAGTACTAAAGAGCAGAGGCTATTTTTGACCTTCTACTTTGAAGTGTTGTAGGTATTTATTCCCACTAACTCGAAGGGAGAGTTCAGTCTTTTTTAAATACATAATTTTGTTGCAAACCTCTGTGAAAATTTTATAACCCTGAAAGAGAACAGAAAGGATTGCTCAGTGTACTTGAGGCTCATAAAAAGGAGTCAGAGGACAAAATGAGATCCTTTATAAAAGTATTAAGAGCGCTACATCATTTGTGTGATCAGTGTGGTCGTGTGCTCCTCATATAAAGATCAGTTTTATAGACTCTGTCACCAGTTATGCCACCCATCCATAGTGGGAAACATCACCACCACAGCTATGGTGTGGACCACAGTAGAGACAGACATATTACATCATCTAAGTGATGGCTTCCTTTACATTTGTACTAAACCCACTGTGTATGAATAAGAAATATAGTGGTGTACCTCTAAGAATAGAGGACAACCTGCCTCAAGACATATAATAGAAAAATTTTGGTTAGAAATTTTTATCTAAATCTGTGAAGATCAAGTAGATCAAGAAGGCAAACATTTCATGTGAAGAGAGAATTGTTTGAGCTTAACACCTGCTTTCATAGACTAGCCCTATATTTTCCTGTTATTTGCAGAGAAACTATTTCATTTTGATTTACCTAATTTCTCTCTTGGTAGACCCAAAAATTCTCTTCTATTCTGGATAGCAAAGTAGAGTTTGGTTTTGAAAAGGTGTTAAGCCTAATGTCATAACTAAGGTTCAAAATGCTGTGTTGATTCAACATACTATTCTTTCCTTTCCTCCTCTCCACATAGTGTGAATGCATAAATTCTTTGAATGTCAGTACTGAGCAAGTTTATCTTGGGATATTTTTTGCATAACAATTAATTAATTTGTCAGCTTTAGATGGAAAATTCTGTACAAGTTTTCATTATTGTTTATTAGCATTAATTTTAAAAATTAAAATCAGTTTCCTGAAAAATATAGGGATGGATATTGGAGTCTGGTAATTGTGACTGCATTTTGGAAAAGAATTAAATTGCTCAGCTCATGCTATAAGTGATACTAATCACACTACTGAGATAGGAATAGTGGGCTGGCCTACAAAAACAGGCTTTGTGAAGTAATAAATTTTGACAATTCTAGCAATAATAATGAAGGCGAGTTCAATTCTATTTAAAAAAAAAAAAAATCCAACCTTTTATGGCAAACTCCTGTGGGTGGAAAATGGCCACATTTCACAGAAGGAACTTTGTTTTAAAACGTTGTCCCAGGTTCAGTATCCTAGTGATTATATATTTATAGGACTGCCACTGTGACATTGGTTAACATAGTTTTTCCGGAACTTGAGCAGCAAACATACATCTTTGCTTTCTTTTGCAGTCTTTGGAGCCTTCTGCTGCTTTGGGCATGGGAGCACATCCCATTGCCAGTGAAGAGAAGCCAGCCACTGACCTGGCAGCCAAACTGCTCCTTCTTGATGAGCTTGTGTCTCTGGAGAATGAGGTGACAGAGACCAAGAAGAAAAGAAGTTTCCCAGGATTTGGTTCCCCAATCGACAGAATTTCTTCAACCTCCATGGATGCTAAAGGCAAACAGAGGTAAATTCCTAGATGCTTCTACTAGTGATAAAGTTGAAAGAAAGTTGTTGGTAGGTGCCCTCAACACAGATGGTTTAGCCACCAGCAGGTTTACTGGTCAGTTGTGAGGTGCCTCTGATCAGGGTACCAGAATCTCTTCAGAAACCATCATGGTTGCATGGCCTGTAATCCTTCATCTGTGATTAATAGTACATGCACTAGTTCATTTATCCATACAATGCCATACATCTAACAAAGAACATTCAAGCATATGCATTTTTTTAGTACACTTCTTTCCACTGGTGTGAACTAACATTCAGTTTAAAACTGCCTTTTTTTATCATGAGATTATTTAAGGCAAAAATATGCCAGAGGTTCAAAAGCAGAGGGGCAGGGCTTGGTGTTCCCATGGCTAGGGTGAAAAGAAGGTTTGTGGTATGCAAGTCTTGAATAGTAAGATGAAGAACACATCGTGAAAATGGACAGACAGTAGAATGAGCTTCAAGACCTTGATCGATTTATGAGAAGCCAGGGTTTAATCAATACAGCAGTAAAACAGTACCTTCATAGTACACATTTGAATATCAGCATGTTTATAACAGGGCTAAGCAATGATGCTTGATATGGCTGAGGAGAGCCACTGAGTTTGGGGCAAAGCTCAAGGGGCTATTTGCTATATCTGAAAGAGTTTAGCAGTCCTGTTCCCTTCTTCTGGTAACTGTCTTTTGGATGGAATCCCCAATGCCACAAAGTATTTAATAACATGCTTAAAGCTTAATCTGGAAGTGGAAAGTATTCACAAGAGCCCAGTCAACATTACAAGTATTTTTTTCAAACAGAGTTTTGCAATATTTTCTCGTTGTTTTTCCATTTATCCACCCAGTCTGCTAGTAGGACTTTTTGACTGAAGCCAAAAGTGATAAAATACATAATTCTTAAAATCTTGAGTTAGAACTATTCTGTTCTGTATATCTCTTCAAGAGATCAAAATCAGCTCATTCTTTGTTTGCTTTTTTATATGTTTTCCCTTTCCAGGGGAAGAAATTCAAGGTCATTTTTGACATTGCAGTGCCTTTTTCGCAAAAGCACATGGTATTCCCAATTTGTCTCATGATTTTTGGTGGAAATTTTGTTTCATTCTATGTGCAAGGAAACAAACAAACAAAAAACAACACAAAAAAAGGGAAATTGTGGTGGAAGTTGTCCAAATTTTCTAACAGCTTATCTTTAAATAATAAGTTAATATAAATGAGTGACTGACAAAATTCCTCCTTTCCCAGCATCATCAGCACAGTTTTCAGTTTTGTATTGAAATTATCACTTGGGGGGGGCTGATTAGCTTTTAAGTTTGGGATTGACTAATTTATTAGAACCATCTGAGATGCCTTGGTCACTGCATTGATAGTCAGATACTACCATCACCATGGACCACAGATCAGGTGAGTGCTACAGAACAGTAGTAAGGCTGTACCTTTAGGTGAGAACAGGCAGAAGATGCTACACTTAGAGGAGTAAAACAGAAGTCTGAGCACCCCATCACTATTGTGCACACAGTAGATAACAACCCATTCCTGTACCAGCTGAAACTGTTACCTTTAGAGATCAGATAATGACTTTTGAAGTGTGAAAGCTGTTAAACGGATTCAGCCCCCTGAATTAATACAGTGTGTGTGTGGTGCCTGGCAACACAACAGAAACTTTTGAGAAAGAGCAGATCACATGTAAGTCCACTGAACAGATTGTTGTGGCACCCACTAGTTATAGGAGGGCCCATATCCTAATTTTGCTCATCAACATCAATTTATAAAGCTTTGAAAGCATGGGAAAAGCGTGCCAGAAGACATGGGTCTTCAGAAGAGGGAGATCCATAGACAGACTGAGAGAAAAGGTCTCCGGGAATCTTAGAAAAGGCTGATTTAAATAAAACCCATCACTTTCTCCCTAGTAAGTGCTGAAATAGGCACAGTGTTTTGAAAGGTAGAAATGGCACGGGAGGCTGGGGAGGGAGCGGTGGCTGTCCTGCTGTGGCTTGGGATGGCCACAAGAGGGGAAGCTCCGATGCCTGCCTGCACTCCTCCCTCCCTGCCTGCACTCCTCCCTCCCTGCCTGCACTCCTCCCTCCCTGCCTGCACTCCTTCCTCCCTGCCTTCACTCCCTCCTCCCTGCCTGCACTCCTCCCTCCCTGCCTGCACTCCTCCCTCCCTGCCTGCACTCCTTCCTCCCTGCCTTCACTCCCTCCTCCCTGCCTGCACTCCCTCCTCCCTGCCTGCACTCCCTCCTCCCTGCCTGCACTCCTTCCTCCCTGCCTGCACTCCTCCCTGCCTGCACTCCCTCCTCCCTGCCTGCACTCCCTCCTCCCTGCCTGCACTCCCTCCTCCCTGCCTGCACTCCTTCCTCCCTGCCTGCACTCCTCCCTGCCTGCACTCCCTCCTCCCTGCCTGCACTCCTCCCTCCCTGCCTGCACTCCTCCCTCCCTGCCTGCACTCCTCCCTCCCTGCCTGCACTCCTTCCTCCCTGCCTTCACTCCCTCCTCCCTGCCTTCACTCCCTCCTCCCTGCCTGCACTCCTCCCTCCCTGCCTGCACTCCCTCCTCCCTGCCTGCACTCCCTCCTCCCTGCCTGCACTCCTTCCTCCCTGCCTGCACTCCTCCCTGCCTGCACTCCCTCCTCCCTGCCTGCACTCCCTCCTCCCTGCCTGCACTCCTCCCTCCCTGCCTGCACTCCCTCCTCCCTGCCTGCACTCCCTCCTCCCTGCCTGCACTCCCTCCTCCCTGCCTGCACTCCTCCCTCCCTGCCTGCACTCCTCCCTCCCTGCCTGCACTCCTCCCTGCCTGCACTCCCTCCTCCCTGCCTGCACTCCTCCCTCCCTGCCTGCACTCCTCCCCCCCTGCCTGCACTCCCTCCTCCCTGCCTGCACTCCTCCCCCCCTGCCTGCACTCCTCCCTCCCTGCCTGCACTCCCTCCTCCCTGCCTGCAACTCCTTCCTCCCTGCCTGCACTCCCTCCTCCCTGCCTGCACTCCTCCCTCCCTGCCTGTACTCCTCCCCCCCTGCCTGCACTCCTCCCTGCCTGCACTCCCTCCTCCCTGCCTGCACTCCTCCCTCCCTGCCTGCACTCCTCCCCCCCTGCCTGCACTCCCTCCTCCCTGCCTGCACTCCTCCCCCCCTGCCTGCACTCCTCCCTCCCTGCCTGCACTCCCTCCTCCCTGCCTGCAACTCCTTCCTCCCTGCCTGCACTCCCTCCTCCCTGCCTGCACTCCTCCCTCCCTGCCTGTACTCCTCCCCCCCTGCCTGCACTCCTCCCTGCCTGCACTCCCTCCTCCCTGCCTGCTCAGCCTTTCCCACCCAGCCTTTCCCATGGGTATGACTTTACAATTTTCTTCTCTGTTTACTACAAAGCATGATGATGTTACAACTAATGATGAGAACCACACACCCCACTCTCCCCAAATCCAATCTGGGAAATCAATTCCCCTTTTTATCAAGTCAGGGTCACTATGACTCCAGTAGCCCAAGTCTCCCACCTGCCTCCCACCAGTTTGTGCCTAAACCTGGGGGGAAAAGAGTGAGGCAACAGACTGAGGATCAGCCCTTGGCTTGCTTTCCCTTTCCTTTCCCAATGGTCTAGGGCAACAGTGATGGACACACAGGTGTTTGAGGAGGGGACAGTGAGGGTGATATGAACAGCTCCCCTTCATTTGTGATGTTCCAAAGCTGCTCCAGCATCACCGATGTGGTGCTCCCCTGCACACATGGTACGCTGTCAATTCCCATTTCTTGACCTCCTCTGAGAAGTAGCTAGAAAAGAGGCACTGTGAAATGGGCTGCTGATGCTGGAATGATGCCTCTCGGCCTCAGTCCATGCCCAAGAGGTGTGAGGAAAGGAGACTGCTCAGGTGAGACCATGAACTAGACAGTTCCCTGCAGGATGTGCAGAGCCCCCAAAGCCATGGACTGAGTGAGCATGGCAATGCTAGCACATAGAGTTAGGCTCGAGTGGACCATAGCATGCTTTCCTGCTAATTACTTTGTATTTGCCAACTTACAGAACAAAATTTATTTTTATTTACGTTCCTTGACAAGGACAGATAGAGAAAAGAGCTCATCTTCCATGGATTCTCTTGGGCCTGCATTTTGCTGGCAAGTATTTCCAAGGGCAAAAGCTAAGGTTATTCTCAGCTGCAGAAAATCTTGCCATTTCCACATTTAGTTAAAATAAAACTTCTGCTGGTGGAAAAAAGGCTCAAAAATGCTGAATTAAGATGGGAAAACTTAATTTTTATATTTAAAAAATCATAATAAAATATTCCTGCATAGAACTTATTTCACATTTTCCTCATTCCCTCATTCGTCAAATCACTGGGAAATGTACCATATGGAAGAAGAAAAACAAACCTAAAAAACTCTCATTTTCAATCTCATCCAAAGGTTGCTACTGTACAATTTTGAGAACAGTGCATTTCAAGAGAGCCCACAGGAACTAGGGCTCCTCTGACTTGTCCACTCTGTTACTGTGCCATACTTTCCACTTCCTTGCTTATTTTAACCACAGTTGGCCCTGGAGATTTCAAAGATCCAAACTAATAGGTCACCTGAAGTATATGATACTATGCATGAAACAATTCCCCTTTACACGTGCAGTGTCTCTCCTTTCTTCTATGAAAAGCAGTTAACCTGTGAAGTCATTTTTTTGCTGCCAAATAAGAACAGGGATAGTGGATCAACATCAGCCAGTCTGTAAAACAGATGCAACTCCTGCCTATTCTTTTGTAGGACAAGTGAAGCATCTTATTTCTAAACACATCTTTAGCTACTTCTGCACAGCTGTTCTGTCTGAACAATAAGTTGTTAGTGGAATGAACGGAGGAATCAAAGGCATAGCAACATTTTGATTATTCTTGTGATGTCTTTCCCCAGTTCTTTCTCTCCTCCTTTGATTTTTTTCCCCCATGCAGGAAAGTGGTTGAGCTGCCTAAGAGACGGTTTGGAGTTCCTCTTGACCGGATTGGCGTGAGCCGTCTTGGCAACACCAAGGGTTAGCAGTTCCTGCAAGTAAGCCAAAGTACTCTGGGTGTGAGCAGGCTTGGAGAACCCCACCTGTTCTCAGTTACATGGAGGCACTCAAGTCATGCCAGTAGACTTGGAAAGAATGTCTTGGGGAATGATGACTTCTTATAACATGGATTTTGACTGTCAATTTAGCTTGAATGCCCTAAATTACAACTTAGTATCCCCCTACAAGAAAACAAGTATTCCTAACATTTTCATGTCCTGTAGACCACCTTATAGTGTGTTTGTCCAAGCCTTGCATTTCTGACATGGGAAAATGTAATGTTTACTGGTTTTCTGCCTGCAGGTTCTTCTGTTCTGAATGATTGATGCTGTATTGGAAACATTACAGAAATACAGAAGATGCGTCACAGCATGTCTTGTCATTGACTAATGATACAGCACTCAAGGATTTGACCTCCTGCAAAATCTGTTTCACGTTGCATTTTACTAATGTTGCATTTACAAAGAATAACAAATTCATCAGGTCAGAATGCTCTCACAGTTTTGCACGGTGTCACTGATAGGAGGGAACAGAAAATATGTATATAGTTTAATTGCATGGCATTTATTTCTTAAACTTGCATTATCCTAGCAAGGACTGTTAGATTTTTTGGATTGAAAATAAAACTTCCAGAGATGCCAACAGCAGTTCATGAAAAGCAGACAGTTTGCTTTGCACATTTCTTGCAAGAGGGTGTTTATTTGTTAGATGAAGGAAGGATTTAACAGTTATGGGACAAACCTAGAATTTATTTGAACTGTTGTTTGGGAGAAGATGTCTACTGACTTCATTAGGAATTGGTCTGAATAACAATTGTGACAACACCTTAGTGTTCGTCCTGATGTTTTTAGTACTCTTTCTCTTATATCTGCCACCATATTTAGACATGTTTTCATCATATGGCAGATCCTGAAATGTGGTGAGACTTCTAGTTTCCTCTTCTAGGCTGATAAATACATTTTACTCCCCCCTATGTGTAACATATTATAGTGTCCAAATACAAAGTCTTCTGTTTCCTAGGCCATCTGCATCATATGCCTTATTTTAGCCTCTTGAAGTGAGCACGGGGCTTAACCAGACATCCAACTCTAAAAGTTCAACTATTTCTCACTCTGGTAAAATGTAAACATGTCCTCTCCACTTCATTTCAGAGTAAACCAGGTTATCTTAAATCCTGTTTCATACTTTTCACTTCTTTCCAGATGATAAAATATAGTTGAAAAGAGCTGTTTGCTGACATCCCAGTGCTCAGATTCCTAGCTCGTGTTTTCTGAATCTCACACGATTCTTCTTGGGCTTTGGTTCATGTCAGCTAACTTCCTTGGATTGCTATTCTTGGGTATATATCATCCTTATCATTGCAAAAGAAGATACATGGAGAAAGGGATTATGACTAAGGACTAAATCCTATTCTAGGACTAAGAAATAAAAAATAATTATTGCCAAACACCCTATGTTAGGCAGAGAGTAAGGCTGGAGATAGGAATTAAGTGTTAATTTCCTAATCTGATATGAGGCACAAAACACCTGGCCATCAGCTAGCAAAATGGGGAAAAATACAGTCAGCTTCTCAGTCAGCTACAGGAAAGGAGTTAGGAAGTCAGTGAGTCTCTAAAGTTAAAGGTATTGTGCAGATTGGGACTTTGGGGCAATTTCCCTGGTTTGGACCATGGTGGGAGATGAGACTTCCACTCAGAAGGGCAGGTAGCATCCAATTCATGTCTGGCAGGGGACAGTGCTCAGCCATAGCAGGGGCCTTTCCCATTTTTCTTCTTAGCCCTGCCCTGAGACCAGGATTGGCCCAGCCACAGAATGTTTGTCAGAAACTTCACTTTTATTGACACCTCCAATATAAGCTAATGCTGCTGAGAGCAGCTGCACAAACCAGTGAATCACATCAAGAGGTGCCCCCATCTCTCCCATCAAGCAGAGCACTCTCTGGCTGAGTTAGGTGATTGTTCCTCCTTTGGTAGGTGAGTTGTCAGTACTTGTGTGAAGCACCACAGATGCTTTCCAGACCAAGTTCTTGAAAATCATAGAAAGAAAGAATGGCCATAAATCCATATGTGGCCATCTTGGGGTTTTGTTCCCTGCTTTTCCCCTAGTCCCACTGCTCATTTTCTGTTTTTAAGCTTGCAGGTGAAGGCTCTGAGAGCTGGATTGAGTGGGTGCATATAGACTGGCTGACTCAAGACAAGATTTTCTGTCCAAGCTAGAAGCAAGTCTGCAAATGCAGTCCCAGGCAAGCCCAGACTCTGTTCTCTTCAGTGCACTGCCACCACCTATCTTGAGCCTGCTCTGTGGTTTAGTAAACAGTTATCTTCTTGCACTGAGATTGTCCAGGCTGCAGTTAATCCTCTTGCAAGGTAGCCAGATGTATGGGGCATGGGCAGATTATGGAAGTAATGACCTGACCACTCATACAGCACTCTGTCAAAAGCAGCATAGACAGAGTCTTTGCATGACATATTTTGGGAGTCTCAGATCAGAGGAATCCAGTGCCAACACAGCGGCTTTGCAAAGAGACTGCTGGATCATAAAAATATTTAACATTTGGCAGGTATTATCACGGGTTTCCAAATAAAGAGGGGTTTTAAAGCCTTTGAGATGTGTGCAGAAATGCCCTCCATTGGAAGGGTGATATGAAAGCAAAGCAGAACAGAGGTGTCTGTGGTGGTGTTGCTTGGATCTGGGAGCTGGAAGCTTCAGTCCTGCCCTTGGCTCCCACCTCACTGCATGGATTACTTGGGAGAAAGCAACAGCCTTTCTGTTCCTCTGCCCCATCCACCACAGGACACACTGAGACTTAAAATCCATAAACTGGCAGGTACTGTTTAAAATATGATGATGTCTGAAAGGCTGAACACCACAATTTGTTTTTGTAGACAGTACTGGATAGCTTCAGTCATTATGCGTAGCATGGAGGTCAACAAATGTGAAATGAGGATATACTCCAGCATCCGTTGCACGCTAGGTTTGCCCTGTGCTGCCTGTTTCCAAATCCATTCAGATGCCTATGAGGATATTCTGCTAATAAATCAACACGATCAACTGGAATATCTGAGGGAAACCCCTTTAATTATTGCCTGTGGGTCATTAACTTTAGCAAGAGTGACTGCCCAAGCACGGGTAAGGTGTGAGCAGCCACAATGTATATGTGGCACCTGAGGAAGAAGAGAGTTTCTGTTCTGCATGCTTAGGAGAAAGGACAGGACCCCCACAGCAACGTGTTGAGGGTGAGCCTAGAGAGACTATTACTGCCTTTGCTCTGAATTATTAAATGAATTGCATTCAACACTTATTCATGACTCCAGCAGAAGCAGCTAGCACAGCAGCTTATAGTGCCTGTGAGGAAATAGTGGCGTAGTTTGGGTACTATGAACACTTAAATAACTGCACTGGTAGGATGTAGCACACCATGTGGGCTAAAAATCACTGCTAAGCAGCATGGTGCATTGCATTCCTGTGTCTAGGGTCAGCACAAGCTGTTAAATGTCCACAGATGCTGTACTCCTTTTCCTGACTTGCCGATGAGTTGTCACACCAGGTCAGGAAGGCATGGCCACAGCTAGCAGGTAGCAGATGGAGCCCGCAGCTCCAGCCTTTCATTGCACTGGGATTTCCTGCAACCTGAAAGCATCAGAGCTGAACACCAGCTTGGGGCAATCAGTGCAGATCTTGTAATATACCTCTTTAAGCTGGAGCACTAAACTCTTTAAAGAAAGAGACCCTTCTCTTGGCAATAGGCTATAATTTTTTGCTGGGTTTGGTGCTGTTGTGAGGGTATGTGAAAGTACACTCCCACATACCTTTTCATTTGCACAAAAGCAACAGAAAATGGGAAATGTGTTCTGAATAGCTACCAAGGAAATAACAAAGAATTAATGTTAACAGCAAACTGTATTTTGCATGTCATTAGGCCTCAGTGATACAATCAAGCTGGTTTTATTCCATAGATGCCAGCTTTGGCCCGTAATAGGATGAATGAATCTCCTCTTAATGAAATACACACAAGGTACTGCTGTGGTAAGCGTGCACTTCTTGCCAGAGCCCAAGGCAATGAATGTAACATGGTAATTACAGCTTTGGGGGAGGTGAAGTTTTGAAGAATACGTAGTGTGCAAGCTACAGCTAAATAGCATGGCTCAACAGGGCTGGAGAGACAGTTCAATTCTAGTCAAAATCAGTCCACACATCCACAGTGGCTGCCAGATTCTGCTCTCATTTTCAATGTTTGAAACCTCAAAGTTAACATCAGGTTTTATTCTGAATTTACACCTTTGGGAACACGGACCTTCGTTTTTCAAATAAACATGGATAATGTGTCTTAAGATGAATATATGTAGGAACCACTGATGGATTATGAAGTCTTCGTTTTGGACAGGGGCAGACATAATTCTGCTGTAGAAAAAGCCAGCTAGCAACTACACTGACCAGCCGGATGAGCCAAAATTCTCTGCTCAGAACATCTCTTTGAGGTGAGTAGATAGAAATCAGTGGGCCTGGTCCAGTCCCATGAGAACAGCTGCCCACACATATGCATGAGGAAGACTCAACTCTCATTCCTAGTTCTGGTCAGAAGGAAGGACCTCTTCCTCAGGCACAGTAAAACAGGCCAGTGTTGCTATACCTAGATGTTTAATGGGAGGTTTTTTTCACTGTAAACTTCACATGAACCATGAAGGTAACAAGAGCCTACATTAAGGGAAATGTGCTGCCCCTTGGGTCTCTGCTGGGGGAGAGAAAGAAAACAGCATATGCTTCTGTGCAACAGAAAACCTTTATTGGAATTATATCCAAAGGATCCAGACTTTTGTGCCTGTCCTCCCCCAGACTTACTGTGTACACTGATGGGGTACGACGAGGAACAGCTCTGGCTCAGCAAGCCGAGGCAGGCAGCCCTGAGCCCTTCACATTACACCCAGTCTGCCTTCCTGTCCCAACAGCGGGTGCGAGGTGATTACAGACCTGCTTGTAGGAGGTGATGGGAAACCTAGACATCACTGTGAGCAACGTCTGCAGATGTGGGCAATGGCCCAAGCTCAGGAGAACTGAGTTAGTGTTTGGTGCCTCGGGGGATCTGGTGAGAAGGGGAAAAGTGTACAGTGGCAGCAGACTGAATGGCACACACAGGACAGCAAGGAAAGTTGGGAAGCATCTTCCAAATAGAAGATCATGGTAGGTTAAACCTGGAAGGAAGGAACAGTGGAGAGTGGTAGTGGGCTACTAGCTCCTGTCACAGTTCCTGTTAGACTTGGCTGTGGTGCAGTCATGGAGGATGGCATCCAAGTTAGCAGCATGATGAGACAACAGAAAAAACTCTTAACACATTTATACCCAGCAAGGCAGTTTGGGGAAGGGCTCATCTTCATCTTCCAGTCCTGACAAGCCTTCAGATGCAATATTTCCAGAAGCAGGCTGGGAAGGGATACAAGAGAAGGATGTTAACATCCAACGACTTTTTCCAGCTTCTCACTCTAGCCCTGGAGTGGATTTCAAAAGCCTTATATCTTGACAGAGTTGGGGTGTGACACCAGCATTGTGGTTTCTGGGCACATCTCAATAAGCAGCTTTGACTTCATACAACACTTTAAGAAGGTGTTTCTTTTAGCTGCTTACAGTGTAAATAAGGGGTCTAAAAGTTGTTTCCATGCTGCTTGAGTTATAAGGGTTTGCGTTTCACTTTTCTCTACTTCAATATCAGGAACTAGCTTCTTCTTTCCTGTCTACTGGCCAGCAGCTTTGCTGCCTCAGAGGTGTGTGCATGGTCTTTCACTTGTGGCTGACTGGAAGAGCAGGATACTGACTTGGAGAGACCGGATCT